CACGCATGGATTAGGGCTGCCTGTGGGCAGCGGCGTCTCCGTCACGGCACCTTCGCCTCAGAGCAGCTGTTGCTCCCCAGAAGGATGCTGTGAGTGGAAGGCCTTCAAGAGACAGTCTCCTAGGGAGAAAGCCCATCCTTGACAGCTGGTGTCCAGCCCTTCCCTCCTCAGCAACCTCCATATCCAGAGACAGTCAAGGAGAGAAGCAACTTGGGATGCAGGAGGGATTTCCCAACAGGGAGAACCAACTACCCAGTGGAACGGCTGCCCTCCAGATGTTGTGGCTGCTTCACCACTGGAGATTTTTAAGAAGAGACCGGACAGCCACTTGTCTGAAAGGCTTGAGCAGGGAGAGGTGGACTAGAAGACCAAGTTAAAGATGAGCCAACAGTGTGCAGCAGTAGCCACAAAGGCTAATACAATCCTGGGTTGTATAAATGGAGGCATAGAATCAAAATCACATGAAGTATTAGTACCACTAGCCACAGCCTTAGCAAGTCCACACCTGGAATACTGCATCCAGGTGCAGTCAGCACATTAGAAAAAAGGTATTGGGACTTTGGGAAAAGTGCAAAGAAAAACAACTAAGACGATTAAAGGCCTGGAGACTAAAACATGCGAAGAACAGTTGCAGGATTTGGGTTTGGCCAGTCTAGAGGAGAGAAGGGGACATGATAGGAGTCTTCCAGTATTTGAGGGGCTGCCACAAAAAAGAGGAAGGAGTCCACCTGTTTCCCAAAGCCCCTGAAGGCAGGACAAGAAACAATGGGTGGAAACTAATCCAAGAGAGGAAGCAACTTGGGATGCAGGAGAAACTTCCTGACAGAACAATCAACCAAAGGAACAGCTTGCCACCAGAAGTTGTAGGTGCTTCATCAATGGAGGTTTTGAAGAAAAGACTGGACAGCCATTTGTCTGAAATTGTATAGATCTCCTGGTTGAACAGGGGGCTGCACTAGAAGACCTCTAAGGTCCCAGTTCTGTTCTGAGTAATTTGGCTGCTGAAATGCTTTTCCTTCCCTTCCTCTTGAATTGGTTTCCTGGGAAATCCTAGATGATTCTTCCAAACTCTGTCTGGAAGGCCCAAATCACCCCACACCCTTTTCAGAAATTCTCCTGGAGATTGAAAAATATCACGCAGCTGTTGTGTTCGTCCTGTTTATCCTGTGTAACCTTATCCCTCAGGAATAATTTCCAAAAATAGTTTTGTTAATCTGTTGTGGTAACAGCAACGCCAAGAGGATTGGGCACCTGGGAAAGGGAGCTAATGCAGGGTGAAACCGTGCGCCGCAGTGAATCTCCTGGATGTTAAGGTGACACAAAATTGTTTGTCTGCATTCTTTCTTGCAACTGCTACAAAGAGCTGCTATTTGGCTTTTCACGTTTGCTCAAAATCTTTCAGGAATGGGGATAACAGAGTAACAGCACATCAGAGTTGGAAGGGACCTCGGAGGTCTTCTAGTCCAACCCCGATCAGGCAGGAAACCCTCTACCACTCCAGACAAATGGCTGTCTGGTCCGTTGTTGAAAACCTCCAGTGATGGAGCACCCACAAGTTCTAGAGGCAAGCTGTTCCACGGGTTAACTGTTCTCCCCATCAGGAAATTACAGGCTGGGTTTCTCCTCGGTTCGTTTCCATCCATTGCTTCTTATTCTGCCCTCAGGTGCTCTGGATCTTAGGTTGGCCCCCCTTCTTATATTTGTGGGGCTCCTACAAAGAGGAGGGGGGGGGTTCAAACTATTTCCCAAAGCACCAGAAGGCAAGACAGGAAACTATGGATGGAAACTAATCACAGAGACAAGCAACCTAGAATTAAGGAGGACCTTCCTAAGAGGGAGGACGATTCTCCCGTGGAACTGCTTGCCACCAGAGGACGTGGCTGCTCCATCCCTGGGGTTTTTAAGAAGAGACTGGACAGTCATGTGACTGACGTGGCATAGGGTCTCCTGCTAGAGCAGGGGGCTGGACTAGAGGGCCTCAGAAGCCCCTCCCAAATGTATCATTCTACGTTCTTTGTGGCAACCCCTCAGATATTGGAAGAGTTCAATCCTTCGTCCTTCTCTTCGCTCGGCTAGACATACCCAATTCCTGCAACTATTCCAATCTGCTTCTTCACTTCCCAAGTCCACGCCAACTCGGTTCAAGCCAATCCCCTTCCTCCCCATTTACTAGCCCCCGCTCCCCCCAAGCCATTTTCTTTCTTTCATTTCCAATTCCTGCTTTTTTCCATTTTCTCCTCCTGCGAGTCCCATGGCCTGAGCCACCCACTCACTCAAGAAAGATAAATGGTTTGCTAAATGTCCATGGAGATTCCCAGGTCATGGTTATCCTGAAGGTGCTTTTTCAAGTGTCAATCCTTCCATTCCCCCCCGCCCCCCCATTCAGTCAGAACTGAAGCAGCCTCTTGGATGAGAAGCAAAACGTCTTCAGAGAAAAACAATCCGGTTGCCTCTTGGAAAAAAAAAAAGCACCTTTGGGATAAATGGTTTGCCTTTAACGATCTCCTCTTAAGGCCCAGCCAGTTGATGGGACAGGTACAGCGTGAGCCATGCAGGCTCTTGCAAAGATTCCCTTAGGAGCCCCGCTAAGAGTAAGGGAACGGAATTTCTCCATGTTAAACATTAAAACAGGTAAAACGTTGAGGCTGAAAAGGGGCCGTGCGGAAAAGAAGGAAGACGGCAGACCAGGCCACGCTGCTGCTGTCACCTGCATTTTAAGGGAAGCAACCCACACCCTTAAACTGGGACACCCTGTCCTTTTTCTTCCCTGGGATTTGAGTGGTTCTGCAGCAATTACTCTGGGATGGGAAAATGAAACATAAGTGAGTCATCAGGTTTGGAGAAATACTAGGCAATTAGAGATAAATGTGTTTACTCCTTTCTAATTATTGTTTTACCCATCAATCACGCCATTTGAAACTAAAGCCAAGATGGTTGGTAAAACCATCGAAATAGCCAAGCGCATTAAGACGCATCTCTCTCTCTTCCTAACTCCCTCCGAGCAGCCCCCGGTGTGAAATGGCTGGGCTCATCCAGAGTCCTCTGGAAGTTTCTGTGGGCAGACCTCCAGCACGGGTGTTTCTTCAGCCAGCTTGCTATCGGCTGCCATAGTAACCAGGAGGGGGGGGGGTGGCTCAGGTATTTGGGATGGGGAAGTGAGCTGGGGTAGCGGCACGAGAACTGAAAGGGAGGTCTTGCACTCATGGATTATGGCGCTGCTGAGTGGAGTTGTTTACATGCCATCAAAACCAACTGCCCAGAGACTCCAGGTGCAAGAAATACCTGAAGAGGAGCTTTCCCCTAACATCATACTGGATGTTGATTGGATTCTCAGGGCCGGACCCTGGGGGGAGGGATTTGGGATGAGCCCAGCCCCTTCACGCCTGGGGGCTCTGGGGGAGGGGCTAGTAAATGGAGAGGAAGGGGATTGGTTTGAACTGAGTAGCATCCAGTTTTGGTCACCACACAATAAAAAAGATGTTGAGACTCTAGAAAAAGTGCAGAGAAGAGCAACCAGGATGATGAGGGGACTGGAGACCAAAACAGATGAAGAATGGAATTGCAGGAACTGGGCCTGGCTAGTCTAGGGAAGAGAAGGACCAGGGGAGACAGGATATAGCGGTCTTCCAATATTTGAAGGGCTGCCACAGAGAGGAGGAAGGGATCAAGCTATTTTCTAAAGCGCCTGTAGGCCAGACAAGGAATAATGGATGGAAACTGAACAAGCAGAGATTCAACCTGGAAACAAGGAGAAACTTTCTGACAGTGGAAACAATCAACCAAAGGAACAGAAGTTGCCTTCGGAGGTTGTGGGAGCTTCATCCCTGGAGGCTTCCAAGAAGAGATTGGACTGCCATTTGTCAGAAATGGTGTAGGGTCTCCCACTTGGGTGCGGGGGGTTAGACTAGATGACCTACAAGGTCCCTTCCAACTCTGATTATCTGTTCTCTGTTAAGATACCAGAATATGGTCTGATCCTTGGTTGTGGGACCACAATAATCCCTGGTATGCTTAAAGCAGGGGTCTCCAAACCTGGCACCTTTAAGACCTGTGGACTTCAACTCCCAGATATCCTCACCCCTGGGAGTTGAAGTCCACAGGTCTTAAAGTTGCCAAGTTTGGAGACCTCTGGCCTAAAGCATCCTTCTGCCCTCTTCTCGAAGCACCTGGACCAGGCCTGCCCTTGCAACCTTTCCATCAAAGCCCTTTAGGACTATCGGTAATCTCTGGCGTGGGTGGAGGCGGCTTTACTCAAAGTAGCCCGATGAGGAGATGACAGAAGCAAGAACTTCCTGCTTCCGTTGTGGTTGGGTTGTTGTGGTGTGTCTGAGCGCCGCTGACGGCTCCTCTTCACAGAGCTGCACCACGGGCAGGCAAACCCTCTGACTTCCTGTTCCCGGCGCAGGCGATCTCCTTCCTCCAGGACGAAGACGTCCCCCACAGCTGCCCAGCTTTGGCCCTGGGGAAAACGCCGGGTTCGGGCTGGGTTCTCTCGCTGGCAACGCATCCCAGCCTCGCCTGGGCTAACTCAGAATAAAAAGCGCTGGAAGGGACCCCGGAGGTCTTCTAGTCCAACCCCCTGCTCAAGCAGGAGGCCCTATAGTACCGTTCCAGATAAGTGGCGGTCCAGTCCCATCAAAACCTCCAGGGACGGAGCAGCCACAACTTCTGGAGGCAACTTCTGTCCCGCTGCTGGTTAATGGTTCTCACTCTCAGGAAGCGTCTCCTGAACTCCTGGTTGCTTCTCTCCTCGACTTGAGTTTCCGCCCGTGGTTTCTTGTCCTGCCCTCTGGGGCTTTGGAGAAGAGGCGGACCCTCCTCTTCTCTGGGGCAGCCCCTCCAATACTGAACCACTGCGGCCTCCTCACTCTTTTCACTGAATTGGACAGACCCAATTCCTGTAACCCCTCTTTGTGCTCCGCGTGGAGTCAAAGGGGCCAAGCTGGACCCCACAGACCGGTCCTACTTCTAGCCTACCAGCAGCCCCACTGTTGGCCGGGTTAGCGAGGCTCAAGGGGGGGGGAATCTAAGGGGGCGGTGTTCCCTGGACAGACTGCGCAATACCTACAGCCGTATTCCACCTGGATGATTCGGACGCTCTTGGTGGAAGCAAAGATGTCAACCACGGCATAGAGGGGGCGGGACCCGGGCAGCCCCCGGGCGCTGGGCCCCATGTCTTCCCCGTTGATGACGATGTGCATGTCGGCCGTCCCGTCCGGCTGCGGCGTGAACAGCACCCCGATGCGGCTCTTGCGGGCCGTGGGCGGCAGCACGTTGGCTTTGTACAGCTCGTCCAGGATGTGGCTGTAGCGGCCCGGCCGGCTCCGGCCCACCAGCTTGTCGCGGGGGATGCGGACTTGCTCGATGAGCAGGTGGGGGCCGCAGAGGAGCCCCCGCCCGCCGGCCGGCGCCTCGCTCACGCGGTTGTGGTTGCGCGTGATGGCGAAGACCCAGCTGTCGCCCAGGCTGACCAGGTCCGGGAGCGAGTACTCGGGCACGGCGGCCAGGCTGCGGGGGTCGTGGGCGGTGAGCCCCACGCGCAGGTGGCCGCACCAGCCCGGCTCCTTCTCCTCGATCTCCACCAGGAAGATCTGGCCGGGCTCCAGCGGCCGGTGGCTGAAGCACAGCCCGTGCGCGAAGCTCTCCACGCGGGTGGCCCGCGTGCGGGAGGCGTCCAGGCACACGTGGGCCCCGTGGACCCCGTGGAAGCGCGTGGGGGGGTCGTGCCGCGCAGCCGCCATCTCGGATCCGGCCGGCCGCAGCCCAGGCTATTTTAAGGGGGCGGCCGCCCCCCTGGGACGCCCGGCTCCAAAGAGGGAGAGCGGCAGCCGGGCGGGTCCTAGCGCCCGGCGCGACTGCCGCCCGCCAAGGGGGGCCGGGCAGGAATCGGCCCGCGCGAAAGCAGCCCGAACGTCGGAAAGGCGATCCGGCCCGGGCGCCGGGAGCAGCACATGCAGCTCGGACACGCCGCCGGCGCTCAGAGCGGCCCGGCCCGGCCTCCTCGCCCAAGCAGGCCGCCCCCTCCAACCCCGCAGCCTCCCTGCGCCCGATCCGCGGGGCTTCCGGGGGCCCCGCTCTTGCACGCCCCCCCCCGCCACTCTGGGCCGACCGGACTCGGGTAGCTGTGCGGCCCCCGGTCCCGTCTGTGCTGCGAGGCGGCCCAAAGCAGCCCTCCCCAGCCGCGGTGGGCCTCGGTCGGCAGCCGCTTCCGCCAGAGCCTCCCGCTCCGCCACCCGTCCAGCGCCGGCCGGAGAAGCCGGGCAAGGTTCGGAGCCCCCGCGGGGACAGGTTGAGACCGGCCGCCGCCCAACCCGCAGCGCGGCAAAGAGAGCGGCGCCCCGCCCGGCTCCCCCCGCCATCCCGCCCCGCCTCCGGGGCTTCTGGGGCGCAACGGGGCAACGGCTCCTCCGGGCCAGGCCGGCGCGGGGGGGGGGGGGGGGGGGGGGGGTCCGCAGGGCGCTTCGCTCCGGGGAATCCCGGCCGCCGCTCAGCTCGGCTCAGGCCGCAGCCGCCGCCGCCCCCCCTCCTCCTCCTCCCCGGCGGGGCGGGGCGAAGTGGCGCGCCGGCCCGATTGGCCGCTGCTGGCTCCGGCCCCGCCCCGCCCGTCAAGTGACCGGGGCCCGGCGGGGAGCGGCAGTCACGTGCGCCCGGTTGCCGCTGCTGGTGCCGCTGCCGCTGCCGCCGCCGGAGCCCGAGGAGCCCCCGCCCGCCCGCCTGCCCGCCCGCCCGTGGCCAAGTGAGCTCCGCCGGGACGGCCCGGGACCGCCGCTGCCGGGACCCCGCGGGCTCCGCTCCGGAGGGATTGGGGGGCGGGAGGCTCCTCCCGGCGGAGCCCCCCGAGGGCGCCTGACCGCCCGCCCTGCGCTCCCTCCCTTCCCCGCAGATGGCTCTCCCGCTGCCGCTGCCGCTGCTCCTCCTGGCCGCCGCCGCCGCCGCCGCCGCCTGGTCGGGCTCGCCGTCGTCCAAGTTCGCCATCGACTTCCTGCCGGGGCTGGCCAAGCAGCCGGCCTTCGAGCAGTACACGGGCTACCTGAGCGTGGACGGAGACCAGCACCTGCACTACTGGTGGGCTGGCGGCGGGGGGGGCGGAGGGGGAGGGGGGCTGGCAGCCGGGCGGCCCCTCCGACCGCGGCTTCCTCTCCGCAGGTTCGTGGAGGCGGAGGAGGCGGATGCGGAGAAGCCGCTGGTGCTCTGGCTGAACGGGGGTCCCGGCTGCAGCTCCATCGCCGGCCTTCTGAGCGAGCACGGGCCTTTCAGGGTCGGTCGCCCCGCTCCCGCGCGCCCCCGGGCTCCGTGGGGGGAGGCGGGCGGGAGCCGCGGGGCCACTTCCCTCCCTGCCGGTGTGCCGAGGCCCCGGCTCCCTTGTGTCCCGGGCATTTGTGAGGTCACACTCCCCCCCTGCGACGGTTGCCTCCCTCAGGAGGGGCTCTTGGGCAGAGAGCCTGGTCCTCCTGGGGCAAAGGCCGTGGGCATCCGGGGGGTCTCCCCTGAGGAGGGTCCCTTGTTCCCCTTTAGGTCCAGCCAGATGGAGTCACCTTGAAGTACAATGACTATGCCTGGAATAAGGTGAGCCCACCCCCCACCCCCCCAGCCCTGAAAGCTTGGCTGGAGCATCTCCTGCCCACCCGCACCCAGAGGGCATGAGAGGCAGGGGCAAGATAACACCCCCCCCCCCCCCCGGGCCCCCCCCCCCCCCCCCCTGCCCCCCCCCAGCTCGCTCACATCCTCTACCTGGAGTCCCCAGTCGGTGTCGGCTACTCCTACTCGGATAGCCAACACTACCAAACCAACGACACAGAGGTGGGTGCCGACCCTTGTCCCCTGCCCTCGTTTACCCTGGCCTGCCCGCTGGTGCCTGGCACGTGCCCTCTCTCTGCCCCCGCAGGTGGCCCGCGTCAACTACCTGGCCCTGAAAGAGTTCTTCAACCTGTTCCCGGAGCACCTGCCCAAAGACCTCTACCTGGCTGGAGAGAGCTATGGCGGGATCTACATCCCCACCCTGGCCCAGTGGGTCATGCAGGACGCCAGCCTCAACTTGAAGGTGGGTGTGGCCCTGGGGGAGGCTCCGGGGAGCCTGGCATTAAGTGGGCAGGGATGGAAGGGGGGGGAGCGGCCGCAGGGGAGCCCAGGGGAATCGCCCCCGGCCCTGGGCAGCGCTGCAGAGGTGGAGAGTGGCAAAACCGGATCTCTGCCCGGCAGCAGAAGCTGCGCAGCTGCTGTTCCTCCCTTGACCTGCTTGTTTGGGGAAGGGAAACCAGGGGGGAGGGGCAGCCGCCTCCATTTCCCTGCCATCCGGGGGTGGGGGGGCAGCACCAGGGGGGACCTGACCGCCAAGAGCAAGTCAACTCCTCTCGTCTTGGGCATTGGGGGGGGGCAGGAGGGAAATGGGGGCGAGGGGCTTCTGGAGGTCACTGGACGTGTGTCTTTCAGGGCCTCTCGGTGGGCAACGGGCTCTCCTCCTACGAGACCAACGACAACTCCCTGGTCTACTTCGCCTACTACCACGGCCTCCTGGGGAACCAGTGAGTCTCTGCCCCCCACCCCCGGGAGGGGGGGCGTGTCCTGGGAGGGGCTGGTGCTGCGGCCCCAGAGGCAGCTGAGACACGCGCACACCCACCCGGCTTCCCCTCCACAGGCTCTGGGGCGACCTGCAGCGCTTCTGCTGCTCTGGAGAAAAGTGCAACTTCCACAAAAACCCGAATCTGAACTGCACGGCTGCTGTGAGTGGGGGGAACCCTGGCAGGCCGGGGAGGGGGGAGACGAGACATGGGGGGTGGGGTGGAGGGGAGCCCTTGAGGTCATCCGGCTCTCTTGCTCCCCGCAGATGATGGAGGTGATCCACATTGTGGACGAATCCGGCCTCAATATCTACAACCTCTATGCCCCCTGCGCTGGGGGGGTGCCGGGGAAATTCAGGTGAGCGCCTTGCGGTTTGCAGGCCGCCCCCCCCCCTTTCCTCCCCCTCCCCCCAGTCCCTCGGCCCCTGGCAGTGTCAGGCGGGGCTCTGCCAAGGTGGAGGAGGCGGGTGAGGGAGGCTGGGAAGGCCTGAGCGGCCCTTGTCCACCTTGCAGCTACCTGGATGGGACCCTTGTGACTCACGACCTGGGCAACCGCTTCTACTGGCACCCCCTGCGCAGCCTTTGGAGGGAGGTGAGCAGAAGCGGCCGCTTGGGGCGCGAGGACGGCCGGGCTGGCCTGGGCACGAGCCCTGCTGGGGAAGATGGGTTGGGGGGTCCCTGGGGACGCCCAGGAGGGGTCTCGTTCAGGGCGGGAGACTCTCTTGGGGACACAAGCCACCTTGCTAGAAACGCCCGACTGACACGGCCCGAGAAAGCAGAGCGAAGGTTTTGTGCGCTTCTGTGGGCCCCCTCGACACCCCCCACCCCCCAAACTCGGGCAGCCGTGGATTTAAGTCAATTCCCCAGAACCCAGGAGGGGGGGAGGGGGGGAAGCAAAGGCTCTGAGCATCTCAGATGCTTTCCCCTCTCCTTTGAAGGCCTGAACGCAGCTGAGGGAGGGAGGAATGAAGTCAATGAATAAATGAATGAATGAAGTGAATGAATGAATGAATGAATGGTGAGTGAGTGAGTGAGTGAGTGAATAAAGTGAATGAATGAATGAATGAAATGAATGAATGAATAAATGAAGTGAATGAATGAAT